AAAAATATTAAATAAATGTTAAATAAATATTTTTCCCAAAATAAGTTCAGGAAATAAAAAAAAAACATTAAAAAAATATTGTGTGCTGATTGGATTCAAAAGGAAAGACTTAATTTGGAAATTCAAAAAATTATTAAATTTGACAATAGTATATAGAGAATATCTTGATATATAATAAGCTTTTTTGCTGTTTAAATCCACTTAAAAAAGGTAAAATTGGAAGCTGTCTTTTTGTTTTTGTTTTATATATTTATTACACATGTGCGCGCACACGCACACACACACATACACACAACAAGAAATAAAACTTTGTAGAGATTTATTTATTTTAATGAAATTTAGAAAACTTATAAAGTGTTTTCGGACGGAACGGGTTGATCGCTCTAAGGACGATTAATGACATCACATACTCTTCTCACCCAATCAGAAATCTAAAATAGAGCATATATAACATCATTAATCGCCCTCGATCGGAGTAATCAAACCCGCTCCGTCCGAAAATGCTAAAAATGGGCTTACATGAATAGTGGCCTTATTTAATTAATCTTAAATTGTTCTTATATAATGATTATGAAACAGTATTAAAGTTTTCTAAGGGGTTGTCGCTTCCTATATATGCAGGAGCCTTATTTTAAAGAAAATTTCTAACAAAATAAATTATACTGCTGAATAAAGAGCATGTTCAATCATTGAGATGTGGTATAGTTGCCTTTAACACGTAAATCAATCAGTGCAGAGCGCTGTGATTCTTTAATTAAGGTACTATATATTAAATTTTGGCTTTAGTTCTTCGTTGGATGTAACAAGGGGAAGTCCAGGTCAGTGTCACGGATTCTGATCCCAATTTTTTTGGTGAAAAGAGATTTAGAGGCAAAATAAAGCGATATATATGTAGTACCCGAGCGTTTGATTGAATGAGCCTTAGTTTTCGAGTAAGAATTTTTGAAAAATAAATTTTTAAATAATATTCAATTATTTAATAATAATAAAAGCCATATTTCTTTTATTCAACATCGCGGTTATAATAATGCTTGGAAAAAAATAAAAATTTTTATTATGTAAAAATAGTCGTACATTACAATATCAATAATAAAAAATGAAAAAAAAACGCATTAAAAAATTTTTTTTTCATTTTTTATTACTGATATTGTAATTGTACGATTTTTTTACGTAAAAATTTGTATTTTTCCCAAGCATTATTATAACCGATGTTAAATTAAAGAAATATATCGCTTTTTTATTATTAAATATTGAATATTATTATTTTAAAATTTATTTTTCGAAAATTCTTACTCGAAAACTAAGGTAGCTCATTCAATCAAACGCTTGGACACTATATCTTTATTTTGCCTCTAGTTTCACCAAACAAATTGGGATCAGGATCAGTGATGCACTGATCTGGCCTTCCTCTTGTAGTAGTGTAGAAATTGTAATAAAGAATTACTGAACACTTATTTGACTTTTATTGATCTGCAGATTTGTTTGCTGAATGCGCGCGCCTATAATATAAGCTTTTACTTTATACGAATAGCTTAAAATAGAAGAAAATATTGAAAATATATTCGTACTGCTTTTGTCCGTATATTTTTTTATAATTCTTTAAACAATTAATACATTTTGTGATCGATAAACATCATTTTAAAAAATGTTTCTTCTGTAATTTTTTCTAATTCGATCCGTACATATGATGTATACGTTCTATTTCCTTTTTTATGAATAATACCTTTTAAAATCAAAATGAAAAATCGATGTGAATGAAAAAACCAATGTCAGGGAATCTAGAGGTTAATTTTACCCCTTTTAGGATAAATTCGATCAGCAAGAAAAATTATTATAGAATCAGGACATTCTCTATGGCTGCGTTCGGTTTGGCACTTACAGCGCTTATAAGCAAAGAGATTATACCACTGAAATATAATAATACTGGAACGCGCACGGCCCATGCCTCCTTTGTTAAGAAGAGATCCGAGAAAGAGCATTCAAAGTGGTATCTTTATCCTTTTCAGATCGGAAGAGCACA